TATATAATATTAAATATTTGAAAACTTGTTAGGTCTTATCCGGAGATACGATATTTCGGGCGTTACTCGTGGCCTTTACTTCAATGTCATATTTGATGTAAACGAATCCGATCTTTGCATTGTTAACCTCGGAATCAAAGTTAATCCTAACTGTAGGCGCGAAATAGGAAAGTTCATAGAGAGGTAACGATCAACGTTTTTGTCCTACCTTCACAGAATTATCGTACAATTATTATTTTGTTTCTCTTTAGAGTAGAGTTAGACAAAAATTTACACGCGTTTTTCAAAGGGTTTATCGAATATGCGCGACTAAATCAGCAGCGCACATTATTATTTAACGCGTTGAGACAAAAATACTTATCTTTGGTTGTGCAAGCTACTTCTTCGCTAGATTATTCTAAATACAATGATTTTGTTGAAGTAAATTTGTTATTAAAATTCAAGGATCGCAGGTTACTGATTCATTAAGCTTTCTTTCTATGGACAATCAAGGATCCCTTAATAACTTATTCATCTATTAGCAGTCGTGTTAGTCCAGAATTGACATTTTTGTGGTATTTAAACGTAACACCGTTCGGTCACGTTCATCCCACTGTTCAGTTATTCACGCGAATGCCCAGTCAATGTATGTATCTAACATCGAGATTCCTTCCTAATTAATTCTAATATCCATTTATCCGTTTCTTTAGGGACCGCTTCCGATAAGAACCGATTAATCGATCGAATCCCATACAATTTTCAAATGCTAGTGGAGCTCAAGGGAATTCAAATAGCAATCGAGGTGTTTGTTCAATGTATCTTTGGGCATGATAATTAATTCGAATCAACGTCAAACAATAGAAATGCTTCTATAATTTGTGTACCATTACATAAATAATAAAATGTCCTAGACAATATTTATTAGATCTAACGATAACCATGAAATTCTTAATATTATTTCCATAGCTTGCGTAGACTTTCATTTTGCTCTTCTCCTTTCTTCATAACTTTTGCTACTGCCATTTCAAAGTCCTCTTGTGTAACATGCACACGCCGCTCCCGAAGCGCATACATTCCTGCTTCCGTGCAGACGGCCTAGACAAAATAACGTGTAAATATATGCGAAAATACAAGATTTATGTAGATTCATCAAAATACCTTAACTTCAGCACCACTGGATCCAGTCATCTTTTCTGCAATCTTCCGTAAATTAATACCCCGAGTCAGATTCATCTTACGCGAGTGAATCTTCAAAATATCGGCACGGGCCTGTGTATTGTGATTATTTATGAGTACTTGTTTAATAAAAAACATTTATAATTTAAAAAGAACGTACGGCCTCAGATGGTGGCGGAAATTCGATTTTCCTGTCAATTCGACCAGGTCGCAGCAGCGCAGGATCAAGTATATCGATTCGATTCGTTGCCATAATAACCTGCATGTGATGAGACATTAGTCATACAAAGTTGTACTGAATAATATTTTGATATTTCAATGATCAATTACCTTTATATTTTTTGTAGGCTCGAATCCATCTAATTGGTTGAGTAACTCTAACATTGTTCTTTGAACTTCAGAATCACCACCCCCGGAACCGGATTCGATACGTGAAGAACCAATAGAATCAATTTCGTCCATAAAGATAATTGATGGTGCGTGTTCCCTGTAGATAAAACAGTCTACAAGTTATGTTCACTTGACAGCATTTGTATAAAGGATATTCATAGAATGCTATTTACCTGGCCATGACAAACAATTCCCTAACCATTCTACTGCCTTCTCCAATGTATTTTTGCACCAACTCGGAACCAGAAACACGAATAAATTTACAATCCGTATGATGTGCTACTGCACGTGCTAATAGAGTTTTACCGGTACCGGGAGGTCCATAAAGTAAAACACCCTAATAATTTTGTAAGATTGGAGCTTAAATTTACTTTGAACATCGCATTCATTAAAAGCAACCTACCTTTGGTTGTGCGATACCCAAACTCTCGAACAATTCAGGATGTTTTACTGGTAATTCTATCACTTCTTTGATTTCTTTAATTTGTTTGTCTAACCCACCGACCATCTCATATGTCGAATCCGGCACTTTTTCCACCATCATTAAAGAAACGAGTGGGTCAACTTTATTAGGAAGGATTTTGTGTAATGTATAAGAGTCGTTTCGAAGAGCCACACGACAAGTTGGTGTGATCTGATTAATATCAATGTCCGGCGCAATATCAACTACGTATTTTCCTTCAGGATGCACCTAACAACATCGAGGCCAATTCTAGATCCGCAACAATTAAACGGGAGTAGGGCTACCAAAGCAAAATACCTTGACCAAAACTTTTTTCTTGCCCATGAGCTTGACTACCTCGCCAACATACGAACCAGGTTCTTGCAAAAGCTGTAATTCTTCCCTAAGTAGTCGGACTAAATTATAATAAAATTATTTCCATTA